GGTGACAAGGGCGGCTTTTGGAATCTTGTCTCCACGTCCTCGTTGCGATTCGTTCAGTCTTGATTCGGAGGACCAGAGAGCACGCTTCGAGACGAAAACGTGTCGAGAATGCCTGCAAATTCGTTGTCTGTCCTGCTCAGCTGTTCGGCCCACGAGACTTCTTCCAGCATCTTTGGAGAGCGCTGTGCCCGCGAACCGGGCGACATTTGGTATTGGAGGCGACGTCTGATATTGCTGCACAGCTATTCCAGGACATCCGGACAAAGCAAGTATGGCATTTCCTGTGTAGTTGTGCAGTATCGTGACTTTTTGCTCAGCATCATAGGCTTACTACAGCTTCCACTTAATTGCTAGTGCCCTGGCTTTCGGAGGCAGCGACAGCCAAGCTCTCAGAATTATATTACATCGACCAAGCACGTACTAGAGCGATGACCCAACCGGCTGAGAGGGAGGCAGGGAGGCTGCGTGTGAGCGGCGCAGCTGCGATTAGTGCTACGCGTTGTGTAGAAGAGTAGCTTGCTAGGGAGATCGTCGCTACTGCTACTGCTGCTGTCCATAAACGTTGATCACTTGAACCAGACTGAGATATAACCCATCGATTCCTACGTTACCAGTCTTGGTGCAGTCTCGACATCGAATATTCGGGGGAGTGTCCTTTTGTCGTGAGAACTTTATGAGACTTGTGGAGGTGCTTGGAGTTCATCTGCTTGCTTCGAGCATTCTGAAATGGTGTTGACACGCTGCCTCCCTCTCAGCCCGTCGGGTCATCGCTCTAGTACGTGCTTGGTCGATGTAATAGAATTCTGAGAGCTTGGCTGTCGCTGCCTCCGAAAGCCAGGGCACTAGCAATTAAGTGGAAGCTGTAGTAAGCCTATGATGCTGAGCAAAAAGTCACGATACTGCACAACTACACAGGAAATGCCATACTTGCTTTGTCCGGATGTCCTGGAATAGCTGTGCAGCAATATCAGACGTCGCCTCCAATACCAAATGTCGCCCGGTTCGCGGGCACAGCGCTCTCCAAAGATGCTGGAAGAAGTCTCGTGGGCCGAACAGCTGAGCAGGACAGACAACGAATTTGCAGGCATTCTCGACACGTTTTCGTCTCGAAGCGTGCTCTCTGGTCCTCCGAATCAAGACTGAACGAATCGCAACGAGGACGTGGAGACAAGATTCCAAAAGCCGCCCTTGTCACCTCATGTCTTAGTCAATGCCTCACGGATAGCTGCCATTGTAAGCCGTGCCAAGACACGACTGCGATCAAGGCCTGCGGTACGGTACGAATTTGTTGGGCAGCGCATGCTGCTGCACATGGCTCGCCGGCCCCATATCAACAAGCTCCTCATCCATGGACTCGGGTCGAGTCTGTCAAGCTGGTATGTGACCACAGGCCTTCTGGTGTCGTGCCACACTTGTA